AATATTGTTGTTGTTATTGTTATGATTATTATTGTTGTTGTTATTATTATTGTTGTTATGGTTATTATTGTTGTTATTATTATTATTGTTGTTATGATTATTATTGTTGTTGTTGTTGTTGTTGTTATTGCAGGAATAAAAGTCGAGTCGGTTTGAAAATGTTTGCCTCTTTTCTCTCAAGCTTTGAGCCTCGCTTGTTTTTGTCCTCTCCCGTCCACCCCCGCTCTGTTTCTGTCTCACCATGGACGCAGAGACATTCCAGGCCCTGACCCCGCACTGACAGCTGACTTCCTCAGGCGCTCCCCCCGGTTTATCTCATCCTGGCCTGGCTCGGGTTTTAAAGAGCGGGCGTCTGTTTATCTCGCTGGTACCTCCTCGCCCGCCCGTACCGCCTTCGGCCCAGCACTTCCTGGTTCTGCTCCGCCCTGGAGTCCTGCCCTGAGCCGCCTGTTGCTGCTCATAAGTGGAGCAAAGTGGAGAGAAACATCCCAGAGGTTAGTTTTCACGAGCTTTTCCAAATCAGATGAAGCTAAAGACTTAGCCTTTAGCTATTCCAGCAGGGAATGCATATCGCCCGCCGCCATTCAGGCCAGAGAAATGACAGTCGGAGCCGTTTGGTCAAACCATGTGTGAACGACCGTCAGCTACCACCACGTCAAATTTTAGATTAATATCTGGAAAACTTTTTGTATTAACCAAGTTGAGAGGCTGTGGCGGCCATCTTGAATTACGTTGGTTCCAAAAGTTCAGGAGTTGTAGTCGGACGTCCAGTGATTGTTTCCTGAAAGTTTGATTAAAATCCATCTGGTGGTTCATGAGATATTTTGCTGAATCTTGCCCGCCTGTCGCCTTTTCCAGTAAAGATCCATAACATGAAATTAAAACTGCTGAGGGGGTGGAGTCAGACGAATGCCGTGAGGTGATTGGTCGATGCAGTGCGCCAATAAACTCTGAACAGAAAGGTGAACAGAAACACGAGAGTCTGTCTGGAAACGAAAAAAACACCCGACGTCCGGAGAGCCTTCACCACGCCGGCCTGTCGGCCATCTTACCTTTAGAGGAGGAAGAGCTGCCGTGACGCTTGTTCAGCGCTCGCAGACCCTGTAAAGGAATGTCTCCGCCCTCCAGCACGCTCTTGTAAACATGTCGGTCGCATTCTGCAGCCGAAGGCTCGCTCATGGAGGATCCTCGGTCCGGCTCCACTTTGCTGGGTCCAGACTTGCTGCAGGGGCTGAACCACAAACGAGACAAAAATAAATTAAACTCAAAAATTGATCGTCGAGAGACGAGAAACAGCTGAAACTGAGCGGTTACAGCTAAAAGAAGAGGAACACAGCTGAAAAGAGGTCAAAGCTAACAGCTAAAATGAGCAAACTACTAAATTAAAGTTTTAAAATGCTGACTAAAAGTCAACCATAACAAAATGCTAACTAAAAAAACTAAAAGTAACACAACATTAGCTAAAAGCTAAGCCCAGCAAAACAATAGCTAAAAGAAGAAATATACTGGCTAAAAGCTAAAACTAGCAAAACACCAGATAAAAGTTGGAAAATACTCACTAAAAATTAAACATAACGCAACATAAGCTAAAAGGTAAATGTACCAAAACAGTAGTTATTAGCTAAAGAAGCAAAAGGCTAGTTAAACATGGCAAAAAAATGCTAAAAGTAGCAAAAGGCTAATTGAAGCAAAGTATCAAAAAGCTAATGAAAAGTAGCAAAATAACTAACGAGCAGTTAGAAACAACAAAAGGCTAGTTTCAAAGTAGCAGAATGAAAGCTATATGCAAAAATTAGCAAACAGAAAGGTAAAGGTTAAAAATGGCAAAAGAATACCTAGAAGCTAAAATTAACAAATGGAAAGGTAAAGGCTAAAACTGGCAGAAGATTAGCTAGAAGCTAAAATTAGCAAACAGAAAGGTAAAGGCTAAAACTGGCAGAAGATTAGCTAGAAGCTAAAATTAGCAAACAGAAAGGTAAAGGCTAAAAATGACAAAAGATTAGCTAGAAGCTAAAAGTGGCAAAATAATATCTATAAGCTAAAAGTAGCAAAAGGCTAGCTAAAAACTATAAGCAGCAAAAACAGAAGCTGAAGCAGATTTCAAAGAGAACAATGTTTTTTAGAGATCTCTGTGTATTTCTAAGGAAAATAAACTGTAATAAAGTTACATTTTTGTAAATCTGTAAAAGTTACAAAAGTCACTGCAGCCATTTCCTGAATGAGCCGAACGTTTTGATAAATAAACAGCTAAAAATCAGTGTGCAGAAGTAAAGTACAAAAAAAGAAAAACCTGGAAAACGCCGGAGTAAATTAAAAACGGATTGGATTCCCTCCGACTCATTCATGTTTACATCGTGAACAGACATGGGCTGAGCGGTCATGTGGTTCTGATCCAGCCCGTCTTTAGCTAATTATCTGCCGTCATGTAGCCGTGGGAGAACATGTCAGGGTGAGAGTCAGAGGCTGAAACTGGGAGAAGACATCCCAGCATTCCACAGGGGCCAGCAGGACTCATTTCTATAAATATTCCCAGAACATTCCCACACGGAGCGTCAGCGCCGGCCGTGCACCTGCACGCCGCCGCCCCGACAGAGTTGAAGGGACGTTCTGCGTAAACATAAACAATCAATATCCTACCTGCTGTAGATGGCTTTTTGGGCAACCTCAGTTTGGAGGAACAGTTTAATTGTAACCGAACTGATGAGCTAACGGCTAGTCTGTGCACAGATAAGGTCAAAAATAATGACGGCCATCTTTAAATGGCTCCAACCTTTAATGTGTCAGAGGTTCATGAGAACAATATTTTATAAACCTTTCTTTCTACGGTTATTAGTTTCACTTTACACACCACGACAGCAGCCAGCAGTAGCATTTCTGGTGCAGTTTGTACAACTTTAGGCTACGTTTTATAATATTTCTGCTCAAATCACCACGTAGAATAAAAGTGGCTCAATCTTCAAAACAACGTTTGCTATTATTAGCTAACTGCTAATGCTAGCTTTAGTAGTAATTTTAGTTAAAAGTTGATGTTCAGCTTAATTTAAAATCTGTTAGCCTTTTGCTACTTAGTTAACCCCGCGCAACTTTAAACTTTTAGCTAGCTTTAGCTTACCTTCTTCTTAGCTAGCCATTTTCGATTTTTAGCTTTCAGCTAGCACTTTGATATTTTAACTATTGCTAACAGTTTGCTTTTTTAGGTTTTGATAGGGTTTTGTTACTTTTAGCTTTTAACTAGCGGTCAGCAGTTTTCCACTACTAGCTGTTTTTTCATTCCACCTTTATTTTGACAGGTTAATCCCATTGAGCCTCGAGGACTCATTTACAAGAGAGACCTGATTTCAACAAAGGAAGATGACAACAATGAACAACAGCAACAACAATAAACAGTTATAAAAAGGCATACAGATTTTTTTTTTGGACAAATTAAAATAAGATGGCAAAAAAGGTATCAAAAACAGCTAAATTATAAGGCGAATGTAGAAAACTAAGAACAGGAACATGTCTGCATTGGGTTTTGCATTGAACTTAACAATTGTTTAAAATCCCTTAGAGAGGTCAAAGGTCGAGAGCTTCAGGTCTTTTTACAAGATATTCCAGGAAACAGGAGCGGAGTAGGAGAAGGTCCTTTTGTCTAGTTCAGTCCTCACTGAGGGAACACTGCAGGTAATGATGTCCTGAGAGCGCACGCTGTAGCTGCACTCACGCAGAGACATGTAGGAGGAGATGTATGAAGGCAGCAGACCAAGAAGAGATTTAAAGATGAAAATGTACCAGTGGGAGAGTCTGTGTGGAGTTAATGGTGACCAGTTAACCAGTGAATACTGGGTGCAGTGGTGGGTACGGTAGTTACAGCCAGTTATGAAACAGTGCACCATGATAGACAGCATCCAACATCTGCAGCATCCAACATCTGCAGCATCCAACATCTGCAGGGTTCTTGTAGGAGCGTTCATGTAAATAATGTCACCAAAATCAATTGAGGGAAGGAAAGTCACAGACACAAGGTGTTTCCTAACATTCAGGGTTAGACAGGATCTGTTTCTGAAAAAGAAACCCAGTTTAACTTTCAGTTTCTTTACCAAGTTTTCCACATGGAGCTTAAAAGAGAGATGTGAGTCGACCAAGATACCCAAATATTTATAGGAATCAACAAACTCAATGGGGACACCATTTGAGGATAAAATCGGAGGAAGAACAGCTGGGACCAACTTCCTGTTTGAAAAAAAGCATCCCTTTGGTTTTGTCGGCATTTAGGACAAGTTTGAGGTGAAACAAATCAGTCTGGATGTAGTTAAATGCAGATTTCAAAAGATGGAAAGCCTTAGCAACAGTTTTAGTTCGACAATAAACAACTGTGTCATCAGCATAGAAATGTACGGATGCATCAGGGATGCTCTGACCTACATTACCTATGTAGATTGTAAAGAGGGTGGATCCTAAGACTGTGCCTTGTGGTACACCATTGTTGACTGTTAAGTAACTGCAGGAAGTATGTTGAACACATTGCCTGCGAGTTTGTGTCGTAATTAGCATTTTGCAATTTTTAGCTAGCATATAGCTAAATTTAGTTTTCAGTTCAGTTTCAGCTTCTTCAGCTAATTCTAGCGGTCCTTCAGATCTCAGGTTCTCACTGGATTTTCATGTAAAATGTAATTTCTCCAGATGTTCATAACCTTTCTAGAGAAGCCATCCTGAAAATTGTTGGAAATGTCACTTAAAGATGAAACAAACGTCTTTTGGACAGGAAACAGGAAGTTATGAAGCTGACGTGCAGCCACATCTCGGCTCAACACAACGACCGGAGGAGAAATGTGTGTCGCTGCAAGAACTCAGAGGAGACTACAGTTTAACGAACAATGTTTCCAAAAACCTTCCATAGAAGTAACATCTGACATCTGAGGACGGCAGGACGAACTTCTTCATCTGACATTTCTTTAAGAGTTCGTTCTTCTGCTGTGAAGTTATAAATACGTCATTTATTTTAAAAAAGTGACCTCCTGCTCAAACATCCGGTCCTGGAAGGAAAATCTGTTGAGGTTTGGTCTGAAAACCTGCGGCTGCTTTAATTTGTTCGCTCTCTAATCCAAGCTCTCGTCCTTTCAAATTAAGAGCGCGTCAGGAAGCTGGATTCTGGAGTAACTCGGACTTAACGACTGTAGCAGAACCGGGGAGGAGACGATTATTTTCCCTGGACGGAGCCTCGGCCCTAAATTCCTCACATTTTATTACCTCTTCGGAAACAGAAGCAGACGAAAACAAAAACATGGAGCTAAAGCGAGGAATGCTTGTCGCCCGCCGCCTTTAGTGACCGCGCTGTAGACAAAGATGGCCTTATGTTGTGAAAATACCAACTGAAAATTAGGTTTAGTAAAACGTCACGATATCGCAGGATGTCACACTCGGAGTCTGTGCTGAGGGTGACTCTCGGCTACTACCACACCAAACTTTAGCTCATTGTCTGTAAAATTGACTGAGTTAAACCCATTTCTGTGCTGGCTAATGTCGATCAGCTGTGGCAGCCATCTTTAATGGGATTGACTCTGAATGTTAATCAGCTGTAGATAAACAATAATTTCATTAAATTACGTTCAAAGGTTCAAAAGATATTTTGCTAACAGACTAACAGGGTTGACACCAACAGTTTATGCTAAGGTTTTAAGTGAAGACCTCAGCTGACTCGTTAGCGCTCGGGTTAAGTGATGGAGCTCAGTCTCAGCTACTACCACACCAGATATCAGCACCGTGTCTGGAAAACTGACCGAGTTAAAGACATGTACGTGGTTTCTAAGATCGATTAGCTGCGGCAGCCACCTTGAATCTGGTTAACTCCAAAACTTTACCTGCTGTAGAAGATCATCCAGGGATTATTTCCTGAGAGTTTCATTAAAACCTGTCTGGTGGTTCATGAGATATTTTGCTAACAGACAGAATCTCAAGGACGGAGGATGAAAATGAAGAAGTGGTTCAGTAAAATTAGCTGGAGCGTCCTCGTTCGTCTCATTCAGGAGAGATAACGGTTTTTAAGTTGCAGCTGAGTTCCCCCCCCCCCCCCCCCACACACACACAGACTGATCTGAGACATCCTGGTTCCTGTCTTTAAATAAAGCACCCGTCTCACCTCACTTCTACCTCTGACCCCCCCACAAAGACAGAAAAGAATGTGGACAGAGGACACTCTGTTCTGGTAGCTTTTTGCCTCAATTACAGGATCTCGTCAGGAAGTGCGGGGCAGGAGCCCCCCCCCCCCCCAACATTTATTATAGAAACAATGAAAATATAATAAAGATGTGGACTCTGGAGGTCCAAACAGAACCGAGGAGCCGAGACTTACTACTGCTGCAGACCGGGGGCTGCTTCCAGCGGGCTGAAGGAGGGGGCACTCTGCAACAAACCAAACAAAGAAGTCATTGATGGATCCACGGGAAGATCTCGTCCTGCTGAAACCGGGGCGGCGGCGGTCCCGAGCGGGCCCGGGTTCTGACGGTCGCTCTCCGCTGCTGGGTCGGGTCAGGGGCTCCGGCACCGAGCGTGAGCTCTGACCTGCAGGCAAGTTGGAGAAAACAAGAGCGACCGAGAGGAGGAGGAGGAGGGGAGGTGGGCGTGCATCGGTCAGGGGGCACCCATATGGGAGGAGGAGGAGGAGGTGGGGAGGAGGAGGGGGGGAGGAGGAGGGGGGAGGAGGAGGAGGGGGGGGGCTCCTAGGCACAGCCTATGGGCTGCTGTCTCTGAGTGAAGCCGCTTCTTTTGTCTGGAGTCGAGGCGCTCTCATCACCGGACCGGACCGGAACAATCAACCAGCTGGTGGTGCCAAATTACAGACACACACACACACACACACACACACACACACACACACACACACACA